ATAACAGTAAGTTGTCTCATAGCTAACAAGATAATAGAAATAGCAGATGGAACCATATAAACTTTGGACAGTGGGAGAGCACATGTTTTACTATAAATTGGGGTCTGCCAAGGTTATTTAAGAACAAGAAACCTTTTCCAAGCAATTTCAAGTTAACCTGAACAAACCAACTCAATTCATAGTTACTTTTAAGCACGAGAGAAAAGTGGGCTAATACATCTTTAATTATTTCCAAATACACATTTATAGTTGTGTGGGTTTTTTTCCCCCTCTTTAAGTCTGTACCACCTTCATGTTGACATTTAGCACCATGTAATGGGATATTTACCATTTAGCTAGTGAGGAATGTACAGTATGTTGTTTACTGTGCTAGAATAAAGGGTCCAATTGTAATAAAAGTTCATCCTTGCTTTCTGCAGTAGAACACCAAGGGTGGAAGAGCAACAACATGCTTTCAACCATGAAGCTGTAGCTTATTTACAAACAAAAGAATTCCCCCCCTCCCTCTTTTTCCATTTGCTTATTCACGATGAGGATTTGATCAATAGTATTACATGTTCGGCTTCCTTCACACAGGAAACCAGGGTAGGTTTTCATAACTTCATCTTCAAGTGAATTGGAACAGTGCATACCAAACAAGCACAGCCTGGCATTTCAGTGTGAGCTCCACTATTTTTACCATCTAGGTATGTTGTATGAGAAGAGTGGTGGTGAAAGATGCACACAGGTCTATATAATGTTTTCTTACAAAATGGGAAATAATGAATTTATTGAGGAAGTGGGTAGTGGGCCAACAACCTGTAACATACCAGTATGTCTGTGTGGTGTCCCTGTATTTTCATAACAAAGTTTTGGGGATTGAGGGTGGAGTAGTGAGAAACCTTCTTTTTTTATGAATAACAGACACGCTGGAGATAAACAGCTTTGGTTGTCAGTCAAAATGCAGCTTAAACTCACATGAATTTTAGGGATTTTTGTTATTGCAATGTGATGACAAAAAAAAGGGATAGTTATTAACTACAAGCTTATGCCCATTGCTCTGTGACAGTGAACGTGATATTCTGTGTTTCATTGCTTTTGCACAGCAGTTCACAGCTGTAGCCTACAGACTGCTGTAGATGCATAGTCTTAACAAAACAGTATATTGGGCCCAGCAGTGATCCATGTTATTTCTGTAGCAGCACTGCAGGCTTCTGACACCATGAGGGGGTAGGTACACTATATGTTTACCTACCTAATCAGGCACAAACGATTTCAAGGGACAATCCCATTACACTGTCTTGTGGTAGATAGTTTCTTTTGTGGCTGTGCAGAATGACTGCCAGTCTTGGTCTCTGTGTTGCCTGTTGGTAGCTGGGTAAGGACAGAGGAGCCTTTTAGTTCATACATTTTATCACAAGACCAGTAACTGCTAACAAAATGCTCATGGAGCTCTTCCCCCACTCCTTGGGAGGCAGAGTCCTCTGAGTTTGGCAGCTCATACTTTCCTCATCCCTTGATTCTCCCCTTGCTCACTGAGCTGGATGCTCCCTGCCTAGCAATGCTTCTGCTTTCTGTGAGCAAAGGCT